AAATGAGATCTGCGCTACTGACCACGCGGTGCGTGCGCGGCGCGTGTTTGTGGAACTTATGGCTTGGAACCTGCTTGAAACGTACGATGATTTTTTTGGCGCCGGCAGACGGTTTGTAGCCACATCAACGCGTTTTGAGCGCCGTGCGCACGCGTCGCGTACGCGTGGCGCTGCCTAATAATGCACTCGGGTCATTTGGTTCTGGATGGGCTTTGGTGTATGCGTCCATGTGAGCGTATGTTTGCAAATAACCGACAATTCCTCCTCTTCTTACCGCAGGCTCGTCGCGTTATTCACCGCCTCACGGTCGCTCCGAGGCGACACCGTTGTTGCGACGTGCACAACATGACAACGACGACGACGCCGTCTTCGAGGATATACGCGCGTTTTCGCGCGGGAACACCGTAACCGTTTCGCCTACCGTACACCATGACTCCAACGGAAATGGTGTGTTAACTATAGCATTACTAAAACTCTCATCCTATTTAATAGGTTAAAAATTACAGTAGTACCATTACAGTAACCGAAAGAATCACTTACTTTGGACCCTGTACTAATTTTGATGAGGGGTTGTTGCATGAATGAGATTCGCATGTAGTTGGAGGCTTCGATTTTGAATGCTTCGATCAATTTTTCCTTCATCCATGTTATTGTTCCCGAATGTGCACGAATAAGCAGTTGAAGGGCAGAGACGCAGAGAATTTTTTCTGCGTCTCCATGCCTCCAGAGCTATTTCGTGGTGGTTTGCAGTGTTTCTGTTTCTATGTCTGAATTTTCCCGTGTTATTGAGAAAGGCTGCACAAGCAACAGCTGATTTCTGCCCGGCACAGAGAAACTTATCATGCTACGCTATTATTGATTGATGGCATCAGACCCTGATTCAGGTGCTGGGCAATTTCGAGCGTTTGAAGAGCGTGAAGCGACGGAAGATCAACGGATTCGTACAACTCACGCGACGTTTGAATACTATTGAGAAGTGAGTAGTGTTGCTATCAGTACCATTTTTGAAGAAGATTTTGTGAATAGTAGTCATTACTAGCGATTGGTGTGCATCGCCAGGAACGTCAAGGGGGCGTCCTCGGTTTATTCGTACTTAAAGGCACCAGCCGGGATCTAACTGGTGCATTATAATTAAACAAGAAGTGCGATGGGGAACGCGAGTGGGGCGAAAAAACAGAAAGCCCATAGAAAACACTAAATTTTCCTTAGGAGGTCGGCCGTGGTACGACGGAGAGACACAGCGCTGCGAGGAGAGGGAAAACGCGAGATAGTACGTCGTACGCGAGAGGACGCAGAGACCACGTATGCCGCGTGGATAACGATGGCAGCACGGACAAGGCAAGGCCTTAGCGCCGCTGCCTGTGTTGTCATCCTTACCTATCGCGCCATACGTGGCCTTTGCGCCCTCCGCTTACGACGTACTCTCTCGCGTTTTCCCTCTCCTCGCAGCGCTGTGTCTCTCCCAAACAATACATAAGATGAAAGTGAGTATGGGTCTTTCCAATCAATTTGGAAGATTGCATTTCGGCATGTGTGCTTGATTGTAAAGAAGCGCGTTGGTTAAAAGCTCCGATTCATACACCACACCAGCGAAATGACTCTCTCACGCTTTTGAGTACTTTCAATCAATTTTTAGGTTCTCTTCTCTTTGTTAATATTTTGTTCCAAATTCATAATTAATATTAATCGGCTGCTCTGTCAGTAATTCGTTGACTTTCAGCCAACTGGAGCGGATGCAGAACAAGATGAACACCGACTTTGAGTTATTGATTCGGTTGATGAAAGAGCACGGGAAAACAGCCTCGTCTTCTGATGGTAATTAGCTTTTTCAGTTCCTTGCACTTTATTCTTGAATCCGGCTAGAACAAGGTTAGAGGACGCATATTCACAAGACACAGGGCATTGGTGGTGGCAATGCCGTTTAAACGCGTAAAAACTATTCAATTTTGTTTAGAAACTTTGCGGATTCACCCTTATACGAGTGGGAGGAAGTGTCGCCAAGGATAACGTATCTATTTTCATGTTCCCGAATCTTTCCTAACTTCCTATGCTTCACAGTTAGTCCTTAAAGGATGCCCTCCTTCAATAATGCGATCGCCGGTAAATACACCAAGTATAAGAGGCAAGCGTCGATTAAAAAATATCGAAGGAGGGATGGAGGGAGGGAGGGAGTCGTGTTTGTGACTTCCAGAGAAGGTCGGAAGGTGGTGATGGAAGCAGAGAGGTCGTTTTGCAGTGGATGGAGAAGGGAATGGCCTTTTGACGAGTTTGACTAATTTTTCCTTGACAGTTTCTACAGTTTCCAAGTAAAATGCATGGAATGAGCATGGGAAGCAGTTCTCTGTGCCCTACACTATAACATCCGTCCCCTCCCTCCGCCCTCTCCCCATATTGGCTGACTTTTGAAAGAAATTTCGGGACGGACTTATCTGGTCTCAAAATGAGATACCATAGAAATAGCGTGGTGGTGAAGTTGAGGGGTTCGGAAAACCTCCCTAATGAAGGTGTGGTGGTGGAATTCATGTCGGGACATTCTCAAGAGTGAAGGTATGAAAAATTTCGAGTCGGCAAAACGCGACGCTTGACCCTTATCCCGAATTTCACCCCTGGTCAAACCAGCCTGCTGATGGATACTCGTTTCAGAATCAGTCGATTCGGTACGTCCGCGACGGGTAGTGTCGATCAGTCCAGGTGAGATTGTTCGGCTGCCGAACGGAGGTGATGAGATGCGCGTAAGTGCACTGATAACACTTGAGTTTTTTCACTTCACTTTCTTTTTCGTACTAACTTGATGAATGTACTGTATTGATCGATCTTGAGCTGTGTGATAGATTGATCGAATGGAAATACCAATTTTCCGACCGGAAATCGGAATTTGCGATCAATAGTGTCAAAAATCGATCGACCGATGCTGATTTTATCGCTTTTTGACAGCATTGACCGCTCGATCAAAACACCGCACAGCTTCTTCCGCACTAAATGGTGCTAGGTGAATGTCAGGAGTAGGCCGGTACCAAACTTTGCGAATCCAGCGAATCGCTACTAGCAGGTCGCTGGATTGGCAGAGTATCACACGCCGTAGCCGGATAAAGCTCCATACTAGCACGCTCACAGTAACCGTGATTGTGATGATGTCTGTCTGGTGCCCATGAATGCCAATATTGGCCATTTTCTGTCATAACTGTCCTGTCGTCGTTCGCACTAACACTAACACTGTATTTAAAGCGTTATTGCAGTATTTGAAGGTGTCGCGATTATCGAGTCATGAGCCTCCGTCGTTGCCGACCAGTAGAAGTTCTGACGATGCGGATACACTGTTGTGATGTAAGTTCAATTAGAAGTATGACTTTAGCGTTTTTATCAAATATACTATATGTATACTGAGAACGTCGCTCGATTACTTATGTGGAAGAAAATGTGTTGACGATGTTGATGACATGGGTGTGTGCGGTCGCGACGCGGCCAAGTGTGGCTTAATAAGATGTCGACATATCACAGTCTGAGCTACACTTTGCGATTAGCTTGTTAGAGATTCATATCCCTTCAGTGAATGGGGCAGTAAGGTCAGCAAGTAGAGGTTGTGCTCCTGACGGCTACTTGGCTGGAAATGCGCGATAGGAGCGCTAGGACTTGATAAGTCGTCCCAATTACCGGCGCTGATCGGCGCTCCTACTGCTCGCTATGCATGTGGGTGTCTGCGCCCTCTCGTGTGACGTGCTCTCTCGCCTAAGGCCTCTTCTGTGCGCATAGTGTTTCTCCATCGTACCGCGATCAACCTCAAAAAGAGAAGAGCTGAATTTTGGTGCTTTTGGTGGTTTCTTTTGCTTTTTTCTTCGCTGGTGGCCAGCATCGGATCACTACTTTCACGTCCGACCGAAATAGTCACAATTTTTTTTATCACGGGATGTGCCTTCAAAAGCGATTCTCTTTGGAACAGGGCCATATGCTAAGCTGCCCTTTGGAGAGCTCCCAATCCAGAAAATTTTGGTGATGTTCCGAAGTTTCTAGAGATTCCGATTCCGGGATTCGGATTTTCGCTGTTCTGATCCTTTAAGTAACTTCACTTTCCGAGGATTGTGACAATTGAAAAGAATAAAATAGGGAACATTTCTCGCTCATACACTGCAGTTTTCAGTTGTGTGGTAGTAATCTACGATTTTCTTTCGTTTCAGGACCTGCTCACTTCTCAGCGTTCCTTGCCCAACACAATGTGCCACTCCGATTTATTCCTCGCCACATCTACACAGTCTTATCATGTCGAGATCCTCCATACAGAGATTATCTTCCTTATCAACTAACAATCATCGTAGTGCCATTATCGGATTCACCGTCTCATCACCTTTTAATCGTCACATCTCAACACTCACACACACTCGTTCAGTGATCGTCACATTTAACGACACAACTGGGTTTGTACTGCCCCCGTATGGTATCTTTCCTTCATCATGTTTGGCCTTCCATATCGTTATTATTAAAATCGTATATATGAATACCATATACATATAACCTATAGAGCATACGTTCTTTGCGAGAAAAGCGCGCTCGAATGCGAAATTTTGCTCCATTGCAAGCATCAACGGCAGTGGGCACGACGACTAGAGGATGGGGCGGTTTGGTGACAAACGTCACTGAGGAACCAGACCTTTCAGCGCGGTAGGCGTGGTATTTATGACCTTTCAGAGCACTTCCACCAATCACGCTCAGTGACGTCACCAAAAACGCTCTCGTGTTCACTGCCTTTAAGTTCGGAAAATTTTCAGAAAAAGCTCGTTTAGCGCGATCTCGCACGGACAACTATCCATATCCTGTTCCACATTGTTTGCACGATTTGATCGTTTTGTGTCATAAACGCCGCCGAGAATTAAAGCTGGCGTACACGCGGCTATACTTCTAACGGCGCGACAAGAAGCGATCCAATCGATAATCCCTGTCAGATCTCCCGCCAATTTGAAATGTCGTTGTTTAGATGTGTTCATTCTGTCTCTGTACCGATGTCACCATCAGTTCTGAATACGGGTTCATAAGTAACTTGACAAAATTTCGGTGTCTCTCTGCAGAAGTGTTTCTAATAAATCAGATTTTTATCTATACATAGATATGTGTATGTGTATCATAGATATACGGTATGATACACATATACCGTACACTACACGGATGCGCGGCATATCGTCTCAGGAAAGATTGTCTCGTTTGCTTCAAATATCTCCTCATCCTCGTCCTCATTGTGTCCTCCTTTTCCTCGTCATTCTCCTCCCCCCATCACGTGATGCCGTCTCCGACTGTGACTCAACACTGTTATATATCGATTTGTAAAATTATATTATGTTGAAAAATAAATAATTATCAAATAATACCCATGTGTTGCAAAAGGTATTCTGTGTGAGTTCCTTTCATTCTTGGTCAAAAAATGAATATGTGTACTCAGTGAAGTTCGTGGCGCAATCCGAATTGAGCACATGGCGTAAAGAGAAGGCATGAATAAAGTAACAAAAATCATTCAGAACAGCGGTCAAGTGCATGGCTCATACTCATACCAAGGGAAGGGAGATAATTCGGGCAAAGACTTACAAAGAACCCTAGAATTTCACTGGAAAGTAATTAATTAATAAAGTAATCGAAGCAATTTGCGCGGCTCATCCTTTGAGATTTTCATATTTTTTCGGTAAGATCGATCGAGTAAAGTGAATGTTCACAAAGAAAAATCCAAGAGGCAAAATAAAAAAGATCCAAAGGAGAAAATAAGATCGTCGAATTTTACCTCTCATACTTAAAGATGAAGTATGAAGCCTTCGACATTAATAAATCAATTTTGGTGTGCGCCATGCATTCCTTTTATGCTCAGAATCGTACCAGCGTTTGATTGCCCTGTGGTCTTTTGAACTTGCGTTTTGAATATCTGGGTTCTGACTCCGTTAGGTTAGAGGCTTGGTGGCCTGGGAGAGATTCGATCGGAATTCGACCCCCGGACCGCACGTGTGGGAAGTGGCGTTGTTTACCGGTACACCACTTGGGCCCGTTGGTATTTTGTTCAACTGAAGCTTGGTTACCAGCAAAGGTTAGCGACTACATACACTGGTGAAGATGCAGTTTATGGTCTGAATTTGTAAGTACCTGTTTTCCATAGGGGCTGCCGTGAAGGACTCCTGAGCCATGGAATTCAAGGGAACGGCGCATCCCAGTTCAATATGTGTCGCGCATTTACCGATGGACTTAACCATGTATTGTAAAACTCATCACCCTCTATCCAATTCTTGCGTTGCTCTAATATTGATGTTAAAAAATCGATGCACAGCGAGGTGCGGGTCGGTTGGACTTGCGCCCTTTTATTGAACGGATACTGTGCTGACCTACCTGGTCGTACCACCTCGGTATCCTATAGGTGTAGGAAAAAATTCTATTCTTAATAGAATTAGTACATGTCCTAACGTTATTGCACAGCTGTTTAGTTTGGAATTACCGTGTAAAGCTCTCCGGTCCTTATTAGTAGAACGAGTTCATCAACACGGAATTGTCCCATAGCCAATGCCCCGCGTGAGGCTTTGCTGTTTGACGCGCCGATCGAAGTACCACCCAAGGCTGGGAAAGGGGTGGTAGAGGAGCGGGCAAGACGGGGTCGATTGATTAGTTTACTCCGTGTCAATGCTATGAGGCGGTCTGCGTAATCTTTTTTATTGTATCTGTTATTCATTTTGGTAATAACCTTATCTTATAACCTTATTTTCATAGGATCTCTTCTATTGTAGCTATTTTGTCAACTCGGTGCTATTGTACTTCGGTAAGCACACCGCCTTTTTCGGATACGGTAGGCGCGAAATGTACGTCTGCGTTGATATGACGTCACGAGGCCCGCGCAGAGTACTAAGCGCCGCTTATGTAGAAGGAAGAGGATGCAATGCAAGTGGCTGTCGCCCCACCTCGGATGAAGCGGCACCCCGGGGATTACCTCCCTATGCCTGCGCGCGAAGCGCGCGCATTGTTCAGCCTCGCCGCGCAAGCGGCGAGGCGAACGCTGCGACGGAAGGCTAACCCCTTTGGAAGAACAAAGAAATCATAGCACGCATATGTGAGTACTCCAGACAGTACTTGGAACGCTGATTTGCCTCCGCTCGCGATTGGTAAGATCCGGAGAACCGAATGGGTATTGATTATCGACTACCCAGCAGCTCGTGACGTCATATCAACGCAGACGTACATTTCGCGCCTACCGTATCCAAAAAAGGCGGCGTGCTTACCGAAGTACAATAGCACCGTCAACGCAATTTCGGCACCGCTGGGGAAGGGGGACAGCCCGTACCACTGCGTCAAATTCACAGACGCCAGAAGTTTAAGAACCAACTCTTGAAGAAAAAGAGGGAGACCGTGGTGCGCAAGCTGCTCTACTTCCCCCCCCCCACCGCTGGAATTCGTCTTTGTCCGTCAAGCTTGGTCCTAGTGGTCTCTGTTTGCTTGGTGGGAGTACTGCCCTTTAGTGGGAGCTTCGGCGTGGGTTGTGAATGGCGGTGCTCCAGTGAGAGCAATATAACACACCTAACACCTATTCATTCTCTCATTGTATTCGTAACAAAATGTTATTGAGTTATTTTTGAAAAAAAAAATTTCTCACCAGTTTTATGGGGATAGCCTGCCCCACTCCCGCTCTTCCGCCCGCCCCCCCTTATATCCGTACTCGGGTAACATGCCGATGGATTCGACACTGTCGACACCATCAGCAGGAGCGTTTAGTAGGAAGAGCTTCTCTGGCTATGAATTCAGCCACTCTCCCAGTTGATCCTGCACAGCTGACTTGGATCGAGGTGTGTCAGTCAGGCTCCAAACTCCGAGGAGGACCAGAAGGACCGGAGATTCTCAGATGTTCTGCCTCCATGGTCAGAATTAACATTGGTAAGGTCAATCCTCCGTGTTGCTGAGACAATCGCTTAACTT